AATATCTCTAAATCTTTGTTGGTAATTAAATCGAGATCAAATGAAACCAACACCATTTCAGAAGTAATATCCCCAGGAACATGAAATACCTTTATCATGGTGAAGCATGTTGCTCTCTCACAATAAATAATCTTCTAGTGATTTTCATACACGTGATGGAGTTTGTGACAATCCTCACACGCATGCATATTTATTATTTATCACGTGGAAATCTCTCTAAAGATACAAGCATTATCCCATCTCATACGCTACAACTAGTTTCTCGCTCACACTCTTCTTCTTCCAACTCGTTTGAAAATAAACCATGCCTTCTATAAAAGTTAGTTTAGGATTAACTATTTTTCATTAGTTGTAAACTAAAGTTTACGATACAAGCCAATAAACAGAAGATTAACCGACAATTAATAACGAACGAGCTCTCTAGCTGATTCATTTGATCACATACATTAATATCCTCCCTCAAAATGGAATGTAAAGAGATTAAACATAAATCATGCCATTAAAAGTCGGAAAGCCAATAAACAGAAGATTAACCGACTATTAATAACGAACGAGCTCTCTAGCTGATTCATTTGATCACATACATTAATATCCTCCCTCAAAATGGAATGTAAAGAGATTAAACATAAAGCATGCCATTAAAAGTCCGAAAGCCAATAAACAGAAGATTAACCGACTATTAATAACGAACGAGCTCTCTAGCTGATTCATTTGATCACATACATTAATATCCTCCCTCAAAATGGAATGTAAAGAGATTAAACATAAAGCATGCCATTAAAAGTCCGAAAGCCAATAAACAGAAGATTAACCGACTATTAATAACGAACGAGCTCTCTAGCTGATTCATTTGATCACATACATTAATATCCTCCCTCAAAATGGAATGTAAAGAGATTAAACATAAAGCATGCCATTAAAAGTCCGAAAGCCAATAAACAGAAGATTAACCGACTATTAATAACGAACGAGCTCTCTAGCTGATTCATTTGATCACATACATTAATATCCTCCCTCAAAATGGAATGTAAAGAGATTAAACATAAAGCATGCCATTAAAAGTCCGAAAGCCAATAAACAGAAGATTAACCGACTATTAATAACGAACGAGCTCTCTAGCTGATTCATTTGATCACATACATTAATATCCTCCCTCAAAATGGAATGTAAAGAGATTACACATAAATCATGCCATTAAAAGTCCAAAAGCCAATAAACAGAAGATTAACCGACTATTAATAACGAACAAGCTCTCTAGCTGATTCATTTGATCACATACATTAATATCCTCCCTCAAAATGGAATGTAAAGAGATTAAACATAAATCATGCCATTAAAAGTCCGAAAAAATGTTCGTGATAAATCCTATTGTTAGGAAAAACTCTCCAATATGCGTTTGCAAAAGCTTAGAGTTTGTGTTTAAATAGAATAATATAAAAATCTTTGCCTAACAGCTCCTTTGATATGTAGTGCAGAGCATTTGATGCAATTTCATCATGAGGAACTCTAGAAACTAAGTTAAACTGAGCCAATTTGTGGACGGAAAAACATAAATCATGTTTTGGCAATGTAAGGTTTATGAGTTTGCCAATTAGACTATTGTATGCTTTAAGCACATGTAAGAGATCACCATTATCTGAGACAGTTTGATATTAAAAAGGCTTATAACCTTAAAAACCTGCCTGATCAAGCTATTCGATCAGCATGCCTTGCAATATCTAAGCCAATAAAATACTTCAAAGGACCTAAGCTAAAACTCTAAAACTGAAACATGATTTCAATTGTGAATTCAAATTATATTTGTCATTTTTATTAGCCACAACTATGCCATTCACATATACCAAAAACAATTAAAAAGATGGAGCCTTATACCTTGGTGAATAGATTATGATCTACTATATTGATCTTGTAGAGATTCAAAATTTAATACAATAGTGAAAATTTGCTCACTGTTTGCTTTGACTCTTGTTGTGAGTCCACTAAAGGATGTATGTTGCTTCTGAGCTATAGCCACGAGAGAGCGTAAAGCTTTAAACCCTGGAATTTAAAATTTTTTTTGGAAGCCCTTACCATTTCGAACACATCTGATCAATCTATTAATCGGTTAATCGAAGAGAAGAGAAGCCATTAAAAGGAGACAAGACGCGAGGGAAAGAGAAGCTCACAGGATCCCCGGTGACAGTGGCAAGGCATTTCCCAGTTCCTGCCATTTTTTACTCCTTTGAAAAAAAAATACTGGGTCGAACACGGTTTGGAAAAAAAAGTCAACACAGGTCAAACTCGGGTTGGATACGGGTGGGACACGGGTCGAACACGGGTCAAACACGGTTGAACACGGTTTGGCATGATAACCAACATAAAATTGCCTCGATATATGTGCCAAGCCGCGCTAAATCGTATCCAAACCGCGGTTAAACCGTATCCCAATAGCCCAATTTTCCCAAAGTTTATAAGGACACGGTTCAATATGTATGGGCCAAATAAGTTGTTTGGGCCGCTCTAATGGGTACAAATTTTACGGAGAGCTATTTTTTTTCCTTTTTTCTCATGCGAAGACTTCGATTTTCTGAATTGACAACGAAGAACCGTTGTAAAGATCGAGATAAGAACTTGGTCATGTACGAATCTAGATATTAATTTTATTCTTACATTAATTCCATTTAAGCAATATTATTTCCCAATTTATTTCCTGTTGAAACTGATTGGTATTAATCGATATTTATCGGAGCTTTTTTGAGAAACTTGTGCTCGATTTGGAATTTAGAGGGTTGGTATATAGAAACAGGATATGGTGTTTGAGATACTGAGAAAATTCAAAATTGATTCACTACTGCAACTTTCTGAATCATCCTATTTACTTGCTAAAGATACTATTTGTTGAATGAAGAGTAGATATTGATTTGTGGTCGAAAGCTTCTGTAATCAGATGCTTTGGATGCTATTTAAGTATTCTTAAGAAAGGCAGTGGCACTCATTGTTCTGAGTCTTAGAACTGCAACAAAGATCCATGGAGTTGAGTTCAGTTATTCAAAGGCATCAGAAGCCATAATGACTTGGAAGAGTTGTGCAACAAGTTTTGATTCTTTGGGAACCATTAGTTGACATATTAGCATAAGTGCACAAGATTATTAGCTTGAAGTTTTGTTTTCTATTGGTGAATAGTCTTACCCCATAACTATTCGTGAATTTGCGAGCTATTTGGGTTTGCTAGTGATGACAAGAAGACATTTACGAAGAGCACTACTTTTTTTATGGTATTTGGAATTAAATTTTGCAATTAACAATATTATCATTTAGACATTCCCTCTGATTTAAAGTGTATCCAAGTGGCAACTTCATGTACATAAGAAAACACTATTTGAGAAGGCATTGGAAATGTCAAATTGTTACAAAGACCAACCATAGACATGTTGCTACTGATTGCAACATTCCAATCTTTTATATTCACGTTTTTAGATTTAGGAAGAAGTTTGCTATGCGATTCCTATACTTGGATTTTAGTTCTCTCCGAATAGAATAATGAAAATTTGATTCACTGTTTGTTTGCTTTACATCTTGTTCTGAGTCCATTTAAAGATCTATGTTGCTTCTGAAATATAGCCACGAGAGTGTAAAGCTTTTGTAACTGTTTGTTCCTGTGTGTATATATAGGATTTGAATTAGAGAGAAAACGCATATGTAACTAAAATTAGTATAATACCTCTAAATGTTTGATCCCCTTAAGAAAAACCCCTTGTCTTTCAGTTTGTTAATAACATTTTGTTCCTCCCATGGCCCCGAAATTTTTATCTTGCATCATTTTTTATTGGTCAACAATTCGTAACGTTTTAAGCCAAAAGAGAAAGAAAAAAAACAATTCGTAATGTGCTTCAATTATAAATTTTAATCAGATGAAATGGCAACTACTAAATAGAAGTCTAAGAAGAAAATTATGCATAATGTCCCAAAAAAGATACAAACCATTTTAAAATACAGCGAAATTGTAAAATTAGTAATTGGATTTAACGACAACAGATGATTGCAAAATTAAGTGACAAACACGACAGCTCTCTCTTACCAAAGATGAGTATGAGAATGAAAAGTATTTGTAGGATCAGCTTCTGAATGGTAATGCAACAAAAAAATTAAAATGATTAGTTGCAATCAGTGACAACAGATGATTGCAAACTTAAGTGACTAACATGACAACTTTTCAAGAGTGTTGTCGCAAAGGAATTTTCTCTATTCAGTCTTTAACTCTTCCATATCTAAATAATTTTCATCTTTCTTCAACTCTTTCTTCTTTATTATTCTTATTTTCATCTATCACAAAATTATCTCTAATTCTAATTTATGAAGTGAAAGATCTTCAGATTCAAGTAATCTCATCATTAATTTCATCTAATAAATCAAACTGATCATTTATATCTCAAAATTTAGATAATTTAATTATTTATTTATTACGCTTTCGAAAACAAATCATGTTTTTATTTTGAAATAAAATTCAAACTTACATTATTAAAGTATTTTCCCGCATTTTCAACATATTTTTATTTTTGAAATGTTTCTAAAACAAGAAATAAATGTTAAATTTTTCATGCAATTTAGATAAAAGAAAAATTGGAAAATTATGTGTGAAAATATAAAAAAAGTAGAAAAAATTATTTGTTTAGTTGCTCAAAATATAAATAAATAAAATTATACACTTACATTATATTTTTTTTAGTCAACATTTTTGTATGTAAAGTTATAAATTTTATGACTACAAAATGAATAAATTAGGAAAATTATAAAATTAATTACGGTTTAGTAGTAGCAGAAAAAAAAATCCAAAGAAACACAAAACTCAATTTTTATTAAAAAAGAGCGCCACGTCATCGATCCGTGTCATAAATCGGCACCAAAAGACACTTTCAACGGTTAGATTTCAATTACTGGCTCTTCCCACCTTTCGTCATTTGCATATCTCTCTACGCACACTCTCTCTCCAACCTAACCTTTTTTTATCTCCTCCTTCCGCAAAAATTTAATTTCGTTGAAATTAAAAGAGGAAAAGAAAAAGAAAACGAAAAAACAAAAAAAAGCCCTAAATCAAAATCTCATCACCTTCCTCTGTTTTCTCTCTCTAAATCCATGGATCCTTCTCTCTCTGTACCCAATGATCCTCACCATCCTCCTCCGTTCACCGCTTTTCCTCCTTTCACCAACTCCAATCCCTTCGCCACCGCCCAACACCCCTTCTTCACCGCCGCTAACCCCTCCGCCGTCGCGCCGCCTAACAACAACCAGTTCTTTCAACCGCCGCCGCAACAAGTTCCTCATCCATCTTTTAACCACCCTCCTTACTCCGACGTAAGCTCATCTGAGCTCCGCTACTGAGAATTTCAACATTTTGACTTATCTAGGGTTTTTTTATTTTTGACTGAATTCTCTTTGCCTGTGTGTTTGTAGATGATTTGCACTGCGATTGCGGCTTTGAACGAGCCAGACGGCTCAAGCAAGCAAGCAATTTCGAGGTACATCGAGAGAATTTACACTGGGATACCTCCAGCTCATGGCGCTCTGCTAACTCACCATCTCAAGACTCTGAAGAACAGTGGAATCCTCGTGATGGTGAAGAAATCCTACAAATTCGCAGCTACTCCTCCTCCGACTAGCGTAGCTGTTGCAGCTGCAGCTCAAGCTGCTGGTCTTGAGCCTCCCAGATCTGATTTCCCGAGTAACATCACAGTCAACGAGAACCAACCTTTACCTGATCCGGCTGCGACTTCTGCTCCTCAGACTCAGAAACGTGGTCGTGGTCGACCTCCGAAACCAAAACCCGATGTTCAATCCAGTGATGCTCAGACTAACGGAAAATCCACCTGGGAACCAAACGAATTTCCTGTTTCTCGACCAGAGGATGAGATTCAGCCACAGATTCAGCCTCAGATGCAGCCACAGATGCAGCCACAGATGCAGCCACAGACGCAGCAGCCGATAAGGAGGCCACCGGGTCGTCCGAGGAAAGATGGAGCTTTGCCGACAGTGAAGCCGGCTTCTGTTTCCGGAGGCGTTGGAATCGTGAAGCGAAGAGGTCGGCCACCGAGTGGAAGAGCTGCTGGGAGAGAGAGGAAGCCAGCAGTGGTCTCAGCTCCGGCTTCGGTGTTCCCATACGTTGCTAACGGTGGAGTCAGACGCCGAGGGAGACCGAAGAGAGTTGACGCAGGTGCTTCTTCTTCTCTTGCGCTACCTCCACCACCACCTAACGCGGAGAGTGGAGGAGCTGAGGTTGGAGTCATGGTTGCGAAGAGAGGACGAGGACGGCCTCCGAAGATTGGAGGTGTGATCAGGAAGCCTATGAAGCCGAAGAGAGGCTATTTTCGTACTGGAAGACCTGTAGGAAGACCAAGAAAGGTATGTTTTTTTTTCTCTGTTTTCTCAGTGTTTGCGATAATTCCCAAACCCGAGGCCATTATAGAGCTAGATATTTTTCCGGGTCAAATAGATAATCGAAAAAGTTGGAACTTTTGTCTTGTGAATAAATGTCACTTTCCACTCTGAATATTGTCTCTTTCGAGTTTGCAGGTAGAGAGTATCTAATATAGTTTCTACAGTATAATTATATTCGTGTCTCTGCTTTTGGCCTATGCTTATTTGGTTTTTGGTGTACTATCATTAAATTAAGATTTCTCTTTGTTTGGTAATCAAGAGCAAAGTGGTCGGTGGCTCGCTTTAGCTAGTCATTATTGCTTAGAATTACATAGGAAATTAGCTTTCGATGCACAAACATCCGTCAAATTTTGATTTTTAGGCAGAACTTAGGTAATTTAACCAAACTTCAAGAATTTGTGTTCTCATAGTCTTTCCATTATTTCCTCTACAATTTGTTAATCTATTTTATCGATGTGTTTATTTTCTGAGTTATCATACTTACATCTATTTTCTTGCCTTTTTACAAACATAGAATGCTGCGTCAAAGGGTGCTCCTGGACAACAAGATATTGGCTATGGTGAACTCAAGAAGAAGTTTGAATTGTTTGTAAGTCGATTAATGAACAAAAACACTTATGGTATCCTCTCTTGGTTTCATTTTCTTTTAAATTCCATAATTCTCCATGCTTATGGTGGTTCCGGTCTGCTCCTTTATGCAGCAAGCGAAAGCGAAGGATATTGTTAACGTGTTGAAAGCCGAGATAGGAGGAAGTGAAAACCAAGCAGTGGTTCAAGCCATACAAGAGCTGGAAGAGCTAATTGTAACAACAACAGAGACGCCGCCAACAGGGGAACCACAACACATGGAAGAAACGCAGCCACTTGAACAACACCCTGAACCTGAACCTGAGGGACAGGGACAAGAACAAGGTCAAGTTCAAGGACAAGGACAAGCACAGACAGAAGCAGAGGCTATGCAGGAAGCTCTGTTCTAAAGAGAGCAGTCTTGACATAGTTTGTAAAAGCTAGCAAGTGGTGATGATGATGGTGGGTTTGCTTGTTGTGTGTTCTATGAATTTTTTAATCTTATAAGGGTGTTTGCAGGAGAGAAAACAAAAAAAAAAACCAAAATGATGATGATTGTGTCTCTAACCAAACAACAAGGAGAGGTAGGGTAATGTCTGTAAAGTATTTAGGATGTTGCCATTGTTCATGTACCATCTCTCTCTCTCCATCGGTCATATCTGTGTAGGCTTTTGCTTTGTACCCTCATGTTTATTAGACTCTGTTCTCTTCTTTTTATTTGGTATCTTAGGCTTTTAGGATTTAATGTTTCTCAAAGACGCTATGTAATTTTTACTTCTATGATGGTTTCTTCAGTCATGTCAGTAATTATCTTAAGCCCATTAAATTTAAATTTAACGTTGCTTGTGTCAGTTGCTTTGTTTAAAGTTCCAAATCCGGTTTAATTAATTATTGCAAAAATTAGGTAGGAGGTAGAACGGTTTCCTCTTCACTCACACCTTTTTAAACCATTTCCAACCATTAATTTCCTCCAAAAAAATTTGAAATTTGAACAAAAGTAGGGTAATTGCAATTGAGTTTTGTTTTAACAACTTTTTAGAAAAAGAAATCGCAAAACTAATGTATGAAGAAAACAAACTTACATGTTACAAGGTTTCTTCATTTTCACAACTGGCGATTATGAGGATTTTAGCATATTATAGATCCAAAAGATTTAAATAATATAATCCAGAAATCCCTAAATCTGAAAATTAATTTTCAATATTTTAAAGAATTTGTCGATAGCATAAAAGAACGACTTTCAGGTGGGCCCGTATTGGTTGACGCAACGGATTCTGAACCTCTCGGTTTGTTCGTTTTGCTCTCCAAGCTCCAGCCATGGTGACCGTCTTCTAACCGCGAAACCATCTCTCCTCTTTCTTCTTATCCAAGCTTCTCGTCGCAGTTTCTTTCCTCGTCCTCCAGTTTCTCAAGCTTTCTTTAGCTTTTTCATTCGCAAATCCTCCTCCCTAAGCTGAACAAACAAGGTACGTGCATTGCGAACCCTAGCTTTTCGGAAAATGAAATTCCTCCATACTGCTACGCGAATGCTTGAATCTGATATCTGCTGTCTTCATCCTCTAGATTCTTGTTGTTTGTAGCATCGAAATTTCTTCAAGGTTTTAGCGAAATCGAGTTTTTGTATTTGTTGTTTAGTTTAGTCTCCGTTGAATCCCGTTTTCTAGGGTTTTCTTTCCGTTTAACCGCCGTTTTTACAACCGCTCTTTTTTTCTTCCGATTCGAATCTAGATTCCTCATGGCGAAAAGATCTGAGACTCCTTCCGCGACTCACGGAACTGGTCTCGAACCTCCGAGATCCGGTACAGCCGGAGATTCTTCTGGTAACCAACTTCAACCTGATCTCACCGGCGTCTCAGCCGCGACTGCTTCTCAGAAACGCGGCCGTGGTCGACCACCAAAGCCCAAGTCCGACTCTCAGCAAAACGGTGCCGGTTCAGCTCAGCCGACCAGAAAACCGAGCGGCCGTCCGAAAAGAAACGGAGCTACGGCAGCAGCACCAGCTGTTCCGACTGCGTCTGCGGCGGCGACGGCTGTGAAGAGCGGCCGTGGCAGGCCCAGGAGGTCGAACACTCTGCCTGTAAAGGAGGCTCCGGTTCCTACTGTAGATGGTTCTAGAAAACGAGGGAGGCCAAAGAAAGATGACGTGGCGGCTACAACTGTTCCAGCTAATACTGTGGCGGCTCCAGCTCAGAAACGTGGACGGAAACCTAAAAGTGAAGAAGTTGCTAGCAAGAGGACTGTGGGTAGGCCAAAGAAGGTAAATTTCCCTTTTTAACTTCCTTCTCTTTTATCGACAAAATGTCAAACATTATTTAGCTGCTTTACTGTTTGTTTCTTCTGCATAGAATGGAAAAAAATATTTCATAAGAGTAATGTGTTATTTGTCTCTGGTCTTTGATGTGGTATGTTTAAAGTGTGTGCAAAAACTTTGAAAATATGTTCATTTTTGGTTAGTGTATCTTATCTGAATTTTTTTGGTGTATATCCTAAAGCTTTTTTTGATCTAATGTGATGCAAGTTGTTGGTTCTATGTGGTAAGTCGTTATCATTTCATATTTAGAAGTGATTAGTTCATTTAACACATAAACCCTGCTTATACAAAACTATATACTTATGTCAAAATCTGTTTTCCACTCATAAAGGCGACAGAGGCTACTACTACTGGTAAGGAAGCTGCAGACCCCAAAGAGCTCAAGAAAAAAGCCGCACTCTTAGTAAGTCAACTAAAGTCCTCTATAGTTGATATTGGTTTACTTACTGTATTCATGGTAGCACCACCCTTGCATCAATTTGGTTTAGACATCATGTTTGTGTGGGATCACGAAGGATACTAGGAAATATATTCAACATAACTGTATTTTATGTAGTTTGGCTTTAAAAGACGAGCTAGAGGTAATTGAATGATCATTTGATTAGTTTCAGTGATGGGGTTTAGGTTGAAAAAGGATTCTTACAAGTAAAGAGAAAGTTGGAGATAGACAATCTCTTTTTTATTTTTATTTTATTGAGCAAAAAGAGACAATCTCATGATAAATTTTTGAATGACAAATGTTGCAGCAAAAGAAAGTGAAGCAAGCTGCAGATAAGTTGAAAATAGCAGTTTCAGCAATCGAGGAGGTCCAAGAGATAGCGGCTGGAATGTAGAAGACCTGATTTGACTCGTCTACCTCGGATAATTGAGAAGAAACTTATGGTGTTTTTAGTGGAAATTAGGAAAACATTTGTTTGGAGAAAGACTGATTGGTCATTGGTTGTTGATGTTTGCTTGATTTTTCACTTTAGGTTTGTTTGTACGTTCGTAGGAAGTGTACCAGAAGAGAAAACAGTTTAGTGTTGTTAATGGTTAAGCTTTGCTGATACAGTACATCTTGTGTAGCTGGGTTACATGGGAAAGTTACACTTTTGCGTTAAACTCTTTGTTCTGAATTGAATTGCTGCTACGTCTCCCTCGTCAAGAATTTGAACTTTGTTTCTGCTCCTTTTCTTTTGGGTTTATGCATCTAGACTAAAAGATCTGATAGTATTTTGAAATCTTGTTCCGAATTACTAAATTTTAGGATCCGTTAATAAATATATTGAATACTTTTTTTCTTTGTTGTAATGATTTTGTTGGTAAACAGATTCTATTTTGCTGAATTGTTCGAACCCAATCTTGAAATACCATTTTTCGAATTGTTTAGGTTTCTTGTTCGTAAGGCCCATTTATGGCGAGTCAACGACCAGATTGACACAGTGACTTAGAGATGAGTGATGAGTGATGACGTCGACTTCTCAGTCATTTTTCAAACTCAAGACCATTGTCATTGATTTCGATTTCTCCTTCGGTTATTGATTAGGGTTCCTCGCCGATCCTCCTTCCTCGGATTTACAAGGATACGGCTGTAACATAAGCTAAATCCTTCGAATCTCTCGTTTCGGTTCTGATTTCGTAGAAGATGACTGTTTGTCATCTAGTTTGATCGATTTCATGTAAGATCCTGGCCCTGTGTTGTCTCAATTCAACCCAAATTTTCTGGATTTATTTAAAAGCCCTTTCTCAGTTTAATCATCAAGTGTGTAATAACTTGATCCTGTTTCTGTATATAGAATATAACAATGCAAGTGGATACAGTAACAAGGAAGCCTCGTATATTACTAGCTGTAAGTGGGAAAGTAGCTGCAATTAAGTTCAGTAATCTCTGCCATTGTTCCTCAGAATGGGCAGAAGTGAAAGCCGTAGCTTCAAAATCATCTCTCAGTTTCGTGGATAAACCTTCTCTTCCTCAAAATGTGATTCTCTATACAGATGAAGATGAGTGGTCTGGCGGAAGAAAATTGGTGATCCCGTGCTTCATATCGAGCTCAGACACTGGGCTGATGTTATGATCATTGCTCCTTTGTCTGCAAACACGTCAGCCAAGGTAAGTAGTATATATTTAATAATCACTATCTCATATAGTAGCTGAAAATTTAGAGTTTACAATTCTAGAGATTGTTTGCATTCTCATTATCTAACCATAATTATCGGCGTTAGAGTCAATATCGTTTTACCGAGATTGTTTGATAATGCCATTGCCAGCTATATTATAGAATAGATCTTTTGGGTCATATTCTTGCCATACAGCAGCAGAGCCATATGCCGTGTGTATCTAAAAATCTAGAGTTGTGCTCTTTAGTTCCTTACTCTTTGCTTTTCAAGATCCTAAGAAAGTAGAGCTTGTAGCTGAAGAATAGAGAGTTGGCAATTCTGAAGATTGTTTGCTTCTAAGGATATAGACATAGTTCTCTTTTGATCATACATATCGCAAATAGTGTTGTGTACTGAGATTTTTAAGAATGGCAGCTATAGTCTAAGAGTAGATCTTTGGCTCATTTACTTGCCATCACGAAACAGATCACCATATGGAAGATCAAGAGTTGAGCTATATTCTATTGCTCTCACATGATCTTAAAAAAAGTTTATTTTCTATTTACAGATTGCTGGTGGGTTATGTGATAATCTATTGACATGTATTATAAGAGCGTGGGACTATACCAAACCGATGTTTGTTGCACCATCGATGAACACTTTATTGTGGAACAATCCATTTACAGAACGGCACCTTGTGTTGCTCGATGAGCTTGGAATCACTCTCATTCCAAGAAGAAACTGGCCTGTGAAGATTACGGTAACGGCGCAATAGCTGAGCCTTCTCTGATTTATTCCACTGTTAGACTGTTTTGGGAGTCACATACATGCTCATCGACAAAGCCATGCAACGAGTTGACTTCTATAACTTAGCCATTGATTGATTGCTCTGTTTTTCTCAAATCATAGATTATCAGTCACCTCTTTGTTTTTTAGCTTGAGGAACTCTCTGAACAATCAATCTATTAGCTGAATCTTGTGCAAATATGAAATATCTATGAGAGGTTTTTGGATTGGTTCGATTTATTGGTTGTAAAGCCCATCATCTCTGACGAGATTGACTAATAACGAGTGATGACGTCAAGCTAAGAAAGTAGATTGTTCCGGCCGAAATTATCAAGTTACATGGCGGCGTAAGCTGCTTCTCCGGTGGCATATAAAGAGTCCTTTTTTCCTTTCAAAATTAATAATTTCTTTAAACCCTTTTCTCTCGAGATCAAATGCGATGCGCGGGAACAAAAGGTTGAAAGAGCTTTGCGCTCTCTCGTGGCGAGCTCATAAGCAACAGTACACATCCTTCAATGGACTCGAGACAAGATTCAAGGGACACGGTGAAGCAAATTTTCACTATTCGAAGCAGAAAAGTCAAACCCAAATCCAGAAATCGCAGAGCAAATCTGGTGACGCGGATATCAAAGAGTGGAACGTAGCTATAAGCAGCTACATGCGCACTGGAAGGTGCAACGAAGCACTTCGCGTGTTCGAGCGCATGCCTAGGTGGAGCTCCGTATCATACAACGCCATGATCTCTGGGTACCTAAGAAACGGCGAGTTTGAATCCGCCAGGAAACTGTTCGACGAAATGCCTGAGAGAGATTTGGTTTCGTGGAACGTGATGATCAAAGGGTATGTGCGGAACAGGAATCTTGGAAAAGCAAGGGAGTTGTTCGAGAGTATGCCTGAGAGAGATGTTTGTTCGTGGAATACGATATTGTCTGGGTACGCTCAGAATGGGTGTGTTGATGAGGCAAGGAGAGTTTTTGATCGAATGCCTGAGAAGAACGAAGTTTCTTGGAATGCATTGCTCTCTGCATATGTTCAGAACAGTAGGATGGAGGAAGCTTGTAGATTGTTTAGGTCAAGGGAGAATTGGGCATTGGTCTCGTGGAACTGCTTGCTTGGTGGGTTTGTTAAGAAGAAAATGATTGTCGAGGCAAGACAGTTTTTTGATAGTATGAATGTGAGAGATGTGGTTTCCTGGAATACGATCATCAGTGGTTATGCACAGAACGGGGAAATCGTTGAAGCGCGGAAACTGTTTGACGAGTCTCCTGTTCAAGACGTTTTTACATGGACAGCAATGGTGTCAGGATATGTACAAAACCGAATGGTGGAAGAAGCGAGAGAGTTATTTGACAAAATGCCAGAGAGGAACGAAGTATCATGGAATGCCATGCTTGCAGGATATGTGCAGGGCGAGAGAATGGAGCTGGCAAAGGAATTGTTCGATATTATGCCTTTTCGCAATGTTAGTACATGGAACACGATGATAACTGGATATGCTCAGTGCGGCGATGTTTCTGAAGCTAAGAAACTTTTTGATAAAATGCCTAAAAGAGATCCAGTCTCTTGGGCTGCTATGATTGCAGGGTATTCGCAATGCGGACATGGCTATGAAGCTCTGCGTTTGTTTGTACAAATGGAGAGAGAAGGTGGGAGATTGAATCGGTCTTCGTTCTCATCTGCTCTAAGCACGTGTGCAGACGTTGTTGCTCTTGAGCTGGGGAAGCAATTGCATGGACGATTGGTTAAAGGTGGGTATGAGACTGGGTGCTTTGTTGGCAATGCGCTTTTGTTGATGTATTGCAAATGTGGAAGCATAGAAGAAGCCTATGACTTGTTTGAAGAGATGACTGGGAAGGACATTGTCTCCTGGAACACGATGATTGCAGGTTATTCAAGGCACGGGTTCGGAGAAGAGGCATTAAGGTTCTTTGAGTCGATGAAGAGAGAAGGACTGAAGCCAGATGATGCAACCTTGGTAATAAAAGATATAACATCTCTTTGGTTTTATCTTTGTGTTATCATAATTGCAGTACTATCTTCCAATAACATTCCAATTGTTATTCTTGTCACAGGTTGCGGTACTTTCTGCGTGCAGTCACACAGGACTTGTAGACAAAGGCAGACAATATTTCTACACGATGACTCAAGACTTTGGCGTAACGCCTAACTCACAGCACTACGCTTGTATGGTCGATCTTCTCGGTCGAGCTGGGTTTCTAGAAGAAGCTCACAATCTAATGAAAAACATGCCCTTTGAGCCAGACGGTGCAATATGGGGAACTTTACTGGGTGCAAGCAGAGTCCATGGAAACACAGAGCTAGCTGAAACAGCTGCAGATAAGATTTTCGCAATGGAGCCTGAGAACTCCGGAATGTATGTTCTTCTCTCCAATCTATACGCTTCTTCAGGTCGATGGGGAGATGTAGGTAAACTGCGACTAAAAATGCGGGACAAAGGGGTGAAGAAAGTTCCAGGATACAGTTGGATTGAGATTCAGAACAAGACACATACTTTCTCAGTTGGGGATGAGTTTCATCCTGAGAAAGACGAGATCTATGCTTTTTTGGAGGATCTTGATTTGAGAATGAAGAAAGCGGGGTATGTTTCGAAGACGAGTGTCGTTCTTCATGATGTGGAAGAAGAAGAGAAGGAGTGTATGGTTCGGTACCATAGTGAAAGACTGGCAGTAGCATATGGGATAATGCGTGTGTCTTCCGGGAAACCAATCCGTGTGATGAAGAATCTGCGTGTGTGTGAGGATTGTCATAATGCCATCAAGTGTATGGCGAAAGTCACAGGGAGATTGATTATTTTGAGGGATAATAACAGGTTTCACCACTTTAAGGATGGTTCGTGTTCTTGTGGAGACTATTGGTAAAGTGATGATGATTCCATTTCATCTTGATATAATCGAACTGGTGACCAATAAAGATTTACTGATGGTGGAGCTATCGAAGGTTAAAGAAATTGGAGAAGGAAATGGATTTTGTCTTCGTTTCGCAGGTGTATGGAAGTGTTGTGTATTGGTGTGTGTCTCTGTCTCTTAACAAAGATGAGTATGAGAATAAAGAATGAAGAATGCATTTCAGATTATTATGGTGGGCGTGCGTAGCTTACCTTCGATTCAGAAACCTCTTGTAAGTTAGCTCTTGTCTCTGATGTCTTAAGATGTAATGTCTTGAAGTGATTCCGTATGGGTTTAAAGTAACTGTTCTCAGCCTAGGCTCTACATGGTTTTGACTTTGTTACTCTGATTTCGAAGTATCTGGTTTGAGATAGATGATGGCTATCTATATATATATTCTAATGTGTATTTGATAATGCAGGTGATCTAGTGCAGATGGAAAGTAATAATAGATAATAGTATCGTGACTCATGCCATTAATTTCACTTTAAAACAGCAAAAACTCTAAGAGCCTTCTATTTTGTATATACTTATTGGATTGTAAAGAAATGGTGTGTGGTTTTTCACTTTTCTCATGAGAAAGGCTGGATTTTTTTTTATGGTATTAAAACTAAGTATTGGGAACAAATTCTACTAAAACTAAAGATGGTCTAAAGAGCAGGCGACACAACCATATATTTTGGGTTTCATGTAGCTTCGCAACCATATCTGAATTTTTTGGATAAACCTTCTCTTCCTCAAGATGTGACTCTTTCTGTACAGATGAAGACGAATGATCATTTCTCCTTTGTCTGCAAACACATTAAGCAAGGTAAATAGTATTATTACTAATAATCTCAGAAAGATCTTCCATGTTTCGTGTCTCCATTGAAAGATATAGTTGCTGTTTCAAGATTGTTGACTATATAGTCCGGTCTCTAGAGTAGCTTTTTTACTCAGATTCAGGCAGCGGAATCATAGCCAAAGTAGCTAAAGGTAAAGAGGTTGACAATATTGTTTGCATTCTCTTGAGCTAATAAACATACTTCTCTTTGGATCATATAAGTATCGCCATTCAAAGGTTTATAGTTGTACTGAAACTATTAATCTTTGAGTCATATTCTTGCCATCGAGAAATAGAACCATATGCAAAGAAGCACATGCCTGGAAGGTCAAGAGTTGAGCTCTTTGGCTCCATGCTCCCTTTGCTTCTTTATGATCTAAAAAGCACTCCTCTCTTTCTGTACAGATTGCTGGTGAGTTATGTGAAAATCTGCTGACATGTATTTTAAGAGTGTGCGATTATACCAAACCGTTGTTTGTTGTCTTCAATCTTTTCCACTGTTTTGGGAGTCACAGGTTCATCGACAAAGCTATGGAACTAGTTGACTTCTTTACTTACTCGTTTATTGATTGCTCTGTTTTCTCCAATCATAGATTATCAGTCACCCCTTTTACTTAGTTTGAGAAGCTCTCTGAACAATCTATTACGCTGAATCTTATGCAGATATATATGAGATATGAATGTTCGTAAGGCCAATCAATGACCAAAGACTAAAGACTAGTGATAAGGTCAGCTTCTCTCTCTTGTTCAAACTTTAAACCAATTTAAGTTGCTCCACCTGAAATGATCAGGTTACACGGCGGCGTAAGCAGCTTCTCCGGGAACTGTGAAGATGAAATCATGATGGACAAGCAAATGAAGATAAGGACAAACATCCTCTGCGACAACTCAAGGGTTTAACTCAGGTCGATGTAAATTAAAACCGAGTTAAATATGCTTTTTGGGACCACAAAAAGTAGGACACTGCACGCAGAAGTACCCTTGTCCTCAACAGATTTCAAATGCTTAAGGCGTGTTTGTCCAGGAAAGGATGTGAACACGTTAAATATGGTGTACTCCCTCTTTTCTCTCTCTTGTGTTCTTCCTGCTTCATTATTACTCTGTTTTCTTTATTACTCTATTTTTCTGAATCATCTTGGTTGCTCTGTCAAACGGTCTCAGATCTCGAGTTTGTTTGGTCTTCTTCCAAGGAAAGTCGCCGCCTTTGGGGTTTAAAAGACAGAGACGTGAATCCACAATAGGTGTTTCCGACTCTCCGGTGGCAAAAAAAGTTTTATTTTTATTTTGACGAAGCCCTGAGCTCATTTCTCTCTCAAGATCAAAAGCGATGGGCGGGAACAAACGGTTAGAAGAGCTTTGCGTTCAGTCTTGGAGAGGTAAGAAACAACATACATATCTCAATGGACTCAACAGACAGTGAAGCAAATTTTCACTCTTGGAAGAGAAATCAAACACAAATCCCGAAATCGCAAAGAAAACATCCCTGTAAATCTGGTGACGCGGATATCAAAGAGTGGAACGTAGCTATAAGCAGTTACATGCGTAATGGAAGGTGCAACGAAGCACTTCGCGTGTTCGAGCGCATGCCTAGGTGGAGCTCCGTATCATACAACGCCATGATCTCTGGGTACCTGAGGAACGGCGAGTTTGAATCCGCCAGGAAACTGTTCGACGAAATGCCTGAGAGAGATTTGGTTTCATGGAACGTGATGATCAAAGGGTATGTGCGGAACAGGAATCTTGGAAAAGCAAGGGAGTTGTTCGAGAGTATGCCTGAGAGAGATGTTTGTTCGTGGACAACGATATTGTCTGGGTACGCTCAGAGTGAGTGTGTTGATGAGGCAAGGAGAGTTTTTGATCGGATGCCTGAGAGAGATGTGGTTTCCTGGAATACGATCATCAGTGGTTATGCACAGAACGGGGACATCGTTAAAGCGCGGAAACTGTTTGACGAGTCTCCTGCTCAAGACGTTTTTACATGGACAGCAATGGTGTCAGGATATGTACAAAACGGAATGGTGGAAGAAGCGAGAGAGTTATTTGACAAAATGCCAGAGAGGAACGAAGTATCATGGAATGCCATGATTGCAGGATATGTGCAGGACGAGAGAATGGAGCTGGCAAAGGAATTGTTCGATATTATGCCTTTTCGCAATGTTAGTACATGGAACACGATGATAACTGGATATGCTCAGTGCGGCGATGTTTCTGAAGCTAAGAAACTTTTTGATAAAATGCCTAAAAGAGATCCAGTCTCTTGGGCTGCTATGATTGCAGGATATTCGCAATGCGGACATGGCTATGAAGCTCTGCGTTTGTTTGTACAAGTGGAGAGAGAAGGTGGGAGATTGAATCGGTTTTCGTTCTCATCTGCTCTAATTACGTGTGCAGACGTTGTTGCTCTTGAGCTGGGGAAGCAATTGCATGGACGATTGGTTAAAGGTGGGTATGAGACTAGATGCTTTGTTGGCAATGCGCTTTTGTCGATGTATTGCAAATGTGGAAGCATAGAAGAAGCCTATGACTTGTTTGAAGAGATGACTGGGAAGGACATTTTCTCTTGGAACACGATGATTGCAGGTTATTCAAGGCACGGGTTCGGAGAAGAGGCTTTAAGGTTCTTCGAGTCGATGAAGAGAGAAGGACTGAAGCCAGATGATGCAACCTTGGTAAATAAACGATATAATATCACTTTGGTTTTATCTTTTGCGTTATCATAATTGCAGTACTAGCTTCCAATAACATGCCAATTGTTATTCTTGTCACAGGTTGCGGTACTTACTGCGTGCAGTCACACAGGACTTGTAGACAAAGGCAGACAATATTTCTACACGATGACTCAAGACTTTGGCGTAACACCTAACTCACAGCACTACGCTTGTATGGTCGATCTTCTTGGTCGAGCTGGGCTTCTAGAAGAAGCTCACAATCTAATGAAAAACATGCCCTTTGAACCAGACGGTGCAATGTGGAAAACTTTACTCAGTGCAAGTAGAGTCCATGGAAATATAGAGCTAGCTGAAGAAGCTGCAGATAAACCTTTTTTCAATGGAGCCTGAAAATTCCAGTACGTATGTTCTTCTCCGCAATCTATACGCTTCTTCGGGTCGATGGGGAGATGTAGGTAAACTGCGAAAGAGAATGCTAAACCAAGGGGTGAAGATATTTAAAGGGTACAGTTGGATTGAGATTCAGAACAAGACTCATACTTTCTATGTTGGGGGTGAGTTTCATCCTGAGAAAGATGAGATTTATGCGTTTTTGGAGGATCTTCATTTGAGAATGAAGAAAGCAGGGTATGTTTCGAAGACGAGTGTGGTTCCTCATGATGTGGAAGAAGAAGAGAAGGAGTGTATGGTTCAGTACCACAGCGAAAGACTTGCAGTAGCGTATGGGATAATGCGTGTGTCTTCAGGGAAACCAATCCGTGTGATGAAGAATCTGCGTGTGTGTGAGGATTGTCATAGTGCCATCAAGTGTATGGCGAAAATCACAGGAAGATTGATTATTCTGAGGGATAAAAAAAGGTTTCACCATTTTAAGGATGGTTCATGTTCTTGTGGAGACTACTGGTGAAAATGATGATGATTCCATTTCATATAGTTCAATCGAACTGGTTGGGGACCAATAAATATTTACGAATGGTGGAAAGGTTAAAAAGTTGGAGAAGGAAATGTATTTTGTATTCGTTTTGCAGAATGTGGTAAGGAAGTGTTGTGCATTGGTGTGTCGCGCTCTCTCTCATCTAAGATGCGTAATGAGAATGGAGAATGAAGAATGCGTTTCAGATTTTTATGAGTAAATTAGCTGCTGTCTCTGATCTCTTAAGATGTAATGAATTTACAAGATGCTTTCTTGCTCTGTTTTATCCAATCATAGATTATAAATCACTCCTTTTTACTTAGCTTGAGGAATTCGCAGACCTATATATTATCGTTGAGTATTATGCAGATGTATAAAAATATCTATGAAATCAAAACAACGCAGATTTTATGAGGCACAAAGACTGGACATAACACATGAGTTTTTCTCTAACGACTTACGGTTCCAGGATAGTAAAACAAGCAAATATTGTCCTCCAAGGAACAGTTTTATTGAAGGTAAAAGAATCACCAAAGAGGAGGTTACAGAGTTTTTGGGGTCTAAACCATTGGATTTTTACTTCTTGTTGGCGATGAACAATCCCCATTTTTGTTCACCAGATGTACTCCTTTCAAGCTTTGCTTTCCATCCTCCAACAATCTCATTGTAATCCTCCTGCATTACAAAACCATTTGACAAGATTTTGTGATCAATGAAAAAGAAAGAAGATTACAAAATCTTGGTAGTGAGAAAAGGGTTGTATTCTTTGAATTGGTAGCGAGAAAATGTTTTTACTTCTGAGAAGTCGTTGATGAATTCGTCTTTTTCTTTCTCCACTCTCTCTAATTCACGCCTCAGAACTTGTACAAACTGCAGAAAAATGGTTATGTTAGAATCAGGATTATTCAAAGAAATGTATACATGTTATGAGTATGTGGGGAGTCACCTGATCAGTACGGTCCTCGGCGATCACATCCTCAAAGCCTGCGTCTTTCAGCATCTACCGGAAGAAGGTTTCATTACGAATCATGAAAACATAAAATGATGAAGGTTTTATGAGGAAAAAATGAAAAAAAAAACACAAACCTGTCCATAAGCTTGAACATCATGGAGATCATATCCTCTTTGTTTGATGTACTCTGCGAATATAGGAGACGGGGTTTCAGCGTTTCTGCAATAGTCAGTGATGAGAACTTTACCTCCTGGTTTAAGCCACTTGAAGAATGTCTTGAACAGAGCCGGCTTGTCCTGAAAAAGAAGAGACAAATGATGACAACTTGACAAGGCATCTTCAAGAAGTGAGAAAAAGAAAGGTTTTTGCTTACTTGGATATGCAGAATAGTGTCACGGCTGTAAATAACATCGAAAGAATGATCCGGATATGTCTTTGTGGTGCAATCAGCGACTTCAAACTCGACTGAGCATTTGAGTCCAATGGCACGCTCCAATGCGAAAGAGATCATGTTGACTGATAGATCGATTCCAACAACATGAACATCGAAGTTCTCAGCCATGTAGAGGTCACCTCCACCGATACCACAACCAACATCTAGGACTTTCTGTCCGGGTTTAAGGTCCATCTTCGCCACAAATTCTTTAGTTGTCTCTGTTAAGAGAAAAACAAGAACTTAGAGGCAAGAGGTGGGGTAAATACTTTACACAGGCTTGTCCTTATGAAGATTAGAGTTAGAATGGAATTTACCAAATCCACCAGTGCTCACATATCCTTGCCCAAAGACACGCTCATAGCGCAAGATTCCATTAGACTTATATTGAACATTGTCCAAGAAACGCTGGAAGTCTTTGTCATTCTCCAAGCTGACTTTTTGCCAAATCCAGCAAATCTTTCATCACATAGGAAAATAAATTGTACCCCTCTTTTTAAGCAGTGCAATGAATAAGGCACCATCAAATGATAAGGGAAAGTATACAGTCTGATAAAGAAAATTTTGTGTTACCTGATTTTGATTCTTCTTGTTCTTCACATAAGCCCCAATGCATTTGCAACCAACCATAGAGAGCTCAAATGATTTGCCAGTGGCATCACGTGTCTGGCATTCCTGGAAAATCTGCATTAAACCACCATTTTAAATTTTGGCACATCTAGAAGAATAAACTCAACTCATCCAACACATTAGATTCGAAAATGTGGCGAGAGTGGTGAGCCAAGTGACAACAAACTTTGATATACAGCATATGTAAGAGAACCTCCATGTGGTTAAATCTCACAGTTGTGCATAAGATAAACATTTAGATCTCAGGTCACATACAGGATGAAATTAATCCCACTGTGTCATCTTTCATACATTCTACTGGATCGAGAGTTCAGCTTTAAAAACCATATAATTGGCACCGAAAGGTAAGGTAAGATGCATTTCATTGCCATAAAGCAAAGACCAGTCAAAAGATTGAACCTTTGTATAGAATCTTGGTTCACGGTAGTGAGTAGGGTTTGATTTTCGCTTGCTGTCCCCGGATTGATGGAAGCAAGATTCTCGAAAGAAAATGTATCCCCCTGGTTTTATCCATCCAAGCATCCTTTCTGCCAAAAGTTCCACCTGCATCCATCGAATTAGACTTTTCTTCTCTTAACAGTTCAAAAGTTGAGTACACCAAAAGAATCAGATTTTCACCTCTTTATCAGACAGATACATGAGCAACCAATTTGAGAAAATCAAGTCGATAGATCCATCTGTGATTTTCAGGTCCTGTGATGTCACATCAGCACACATAAACTTGACATTCTTGTAATGTCCATTGACACTTTCATTCTGCAAAGAACAGCATCACCAAAAGAAGAAATCTGGTAAAACCAAATAGAAAAAAACATTAAAATTCTCAACATAACAACATCTACCAAAGCAGTAATTAAAACCTTCTTAATCGCGCTTTCGATGAAGTCAAGGGCGATAACTTCACCAGCCTTTTGAGCTAATTCACCAGTGAAACGACCGATCCCAGCTCCAAGTTCCAGCACCGTTTTCCCTTCATATGGTGGGATCAAAGATAGTACCTATAGCCAAGAAACACATCAAGCCAAAGATTCATGTAGCAATCAAAAATCCGTTTTAAAATGATGATCAAGAAGCAGTTTGTCACATGTTCCTAAGCTCAAACCACTAGAGCAAAGAGAATCTACTACTTAGAACCAATCACAACCCTCAATATTCTAAGATTCTAAACTAGTAAAATATCAAAGAAAAGTTTCGAATTTCAGAGATTGTGAAACCGAGAACATACCTCAGGGCGTTCTTCTTTGTCGAGATCAGAAGCTTTGGAGTCAAGCATCATGGCCTCAACAGTCAAATCACTTGAATTCTCCATCCAATAGCTCTTTTGGATATCTCTCTCTTCCTCTGTGTCAATTATATAACCAAAAACAATACTGAGAACACTCTAAAACTTCGAGACAATGAAGAGACACCTACTTTTAATTTTAAATTCTCCAACAATAAACAAGTTCTCTGTTTAGAAATAAAAAAGCATTCAAAACGTGATTAATTTCCTGAAGAGGGCCAGCAAAAATTTATAATTTTCGAAAGTATTATGATCTGATTTATTTATTAATTCCAAAAAGACAAACGACAAAAGATTCCATTCCATGTGAGTGATTTCAGACAAATGACGAATAGATGATAAAAAGAGGAAACTTTACTGTAAGGTGTCGCCATTGATTAGGAGGAGAGGTCGTCGGAAAACTCAAAAAGGGGACGAGGGAAGGAGACGATAGACTATAGAGAGAGAGGAGTTTAAGAGATTTCAATGGCCTTCAACGGCGAGTCTGGTTCTAGAGAAGCTCCTTGATCTACTGTTGTTGGATTTTCCTCTTTGATGCATCGATCAGTTTCACGATTTTGAACTCAGACAATGTTTCCTCAGATTTCTCCGCTAAGCTTGATTTTGTGGTTCACAAGGAGACCGTTGAGCGCTTTCATAGAGGGAGAGGGAGAGAGAGAAAATAAAATAAAACTAGAGGTGGGCTTGGGCCTTAGGCCTTGTTATATTCAATAATAAAATCAAAATGATAGTAATTAATTAACCATCATAATTTTGGTTGACAAAAAAAGTAGACAAAAATAACAAATCAATAACTCTTTTGCATCAAATACTAGATAGTGGACTACTTTCCACAAGAAAATGGGTGGACTTAAGATTAAATGAACTTTAAAATTGAAATAGAAATAGAGGATTAATCTCTGTTTTTTATATTTTTCTCAATTGATTTTAAATGTAAGTTTATGAGTTTTTATGATCTCATAAAAAAGGATTGGAAGTTATCTTTAGCTACTTTACCAAATAAATTATCTTTCGCTTTTTTTTTAATTAGTTTTTATCAGACACCTTAATGAGGTAGCATTTTACACGATTAAAGTAATTGATTAAGGTTCTAGAAAAAAAATAATAATAATAAGGTAATGGATTAAGATATAACGGATCAAATATATTATTAATTGTCATTAATTTTTTGCAGGCAGAGGCAAATGGAGGAGAAGTTTCTTCTATGACCAAGGTTTTCGAAGCTACTCACCGGAAGAAAGACGGATATTTCGTGGATGCTCGAGCAAGGAAGGTCTACAATGATGCGATGGAGAAGATCGTTGAGCGTCAAACTCAGGTCTCACCTAACGTTCATTTGAATGTCCTCAAGCAAAACCAGATATTGGAAGAGGTAAGTTTTTTTTTACTTGTAATTGATATTTTTTAATTTAATTTTTAATTATATAAAATTAATTACAAATATGTATAGGTTGTTCCGAAGAAGAAAGACCGAATTTTAGGGTTGGGTTCTATCTAGGATTGTCCGGTCGCGGTTGCTGGACGGATATACGAGGATCTTTTAATCCTGCGGCAACAGCTCGAGGTCGCCTACACGGAGATCATAAACTTGCGGGCTGAGCAAGTCGTGCATAGATAAGAGATTCAGTCCTTCAACAACCTCTTTGACATTTCGAAGGAGAACGAGAGGCAGCTCCGGGAGAAGCAGCAGCAGCAGCAGCAGCAGCATCCGGCATCCTCTTCGGCTCCACGGAGTGGTACTGGCGAGCCGCAGGCATCGACCGGTGAGGCGGATGAAATTTCTATATCGACGATTTTGAAATTACTTTGAATGAAATTAATTAATTTTTTGTATTTTATATTTTTGTAAATATTTTGAATTTATATGAAATTTCTATTCTTATTATTTTTATTATTTTCGATTTTTTATTTAATTATTTTTTTAAATCGACATAATATAATGACCAATTTATATCGAATTATTTACATCGAAATTACATCAAAACTTTTACGTCAAAATTACATCGAATTATTTACGTCAAGTTACATCAGAAATTGTTACGTCGAATTACCATCAAATTACTACGATGATTTTACATCAAAAAATAAAATTATCATCATATTAAATATTTTAATCTCGGGAAGCCCATGTAAAATCGATGTAAAATTACATCGACTTTACGTCAATCTTGTGACACAGATATAATCATTTTTATATCAACGTAACAGTTGGATCAAAATTACGATGATTTAATCATGTCAAATTTATGATAATTTTTAGTCGCCCCAAATTTTACGTCGATTTTACGTCGATTTTATGTAGATCCTAGGTTTACGACGAACTAGAAATCAACGGCAAATCGACGCAAACCCATATTTGAGATGATTTTACATCGATTTGGTCCGATGTAAAACCTTTATTTTCTTTTAGTGAAAGCTTTATGTGAGAACATACATGAAGAAGCATTTAGAAGAGCACTTGCATTTTCTGAATGCTCTCCCAAATGCTTTATTAACAAAAGTTGATTGAATGATTTAAAGCATGATGATTTTTTAAAAACTCTACCAATCAAGACCTAAGGTAACAGATTAAGGTTTGACAAATAATAGTCATATATATAAAACAAAAGTTTCATTTTTTCCTATTGGGCTACTTGGCACTCTCATTTTAAAATAAATAAAAATTATTTAATTTTATTTAATTTTATTTAAACTACACAATTAAACTACATTGAATTCTTTGACCCCAAAAAAAAAGTACATTGAATTCATTCAACTCATACAAAAAACCATGTAACATTTTTGGCATCTTTCTCTAGCAGAAAAAAAAACACAAATGAAAACCACATATAATATATATATATATATATATTGATATTTTCTTTAACCAAAAATCATATATGAATAATAATTAACAATGATGACAAATAAAACGTATGCAATTAAAACCTCATGTAAATAAATCACTCACATTTATAAAGAAATGTTGCATTGTCTCTCAATTATTTAACGGAACTTAAAAAAAAAATAATCATATATAAACAAGATTCTCCATCTTAATGACCAAAATTAAAAATATCATAACTCATAAACTAACCCCTTGACAAAAATAAAGCAATTGTGGAAATGGAATAATATATATCATTTGATTTAGCTTGATTGGTTATGAATTATTAATAGGCTTAGATATAGTTTTATTTGTGGTTACGGAATTAGTTGATTTGTCTTGAATGTTTTTGAATTAGTATGACTAATTGTTCTTCCCACAACAGTTACAAAATCAGTTCTTAGATATTTCTTCTGAATTATTATGATTAATTGTCTTTAATTTTAGGTTCTTTCCATGTAACAACGACAAAACTATATAGTCATTGAGAGTTTTTTTTTTTAAGAACAATATTAATATTAATATTAATTGTCCAATTAAAACCTACATTAATTTCATTGATTCTAACATATGTAACGTTAGATTGACACTAAATTTGGTGCATTAAGCACACTAATGAATTAAATTAAGAAAAAAAATTATTCTAATTAAAATTTTAAAAGTTAAATCTACCACTATATATATGTATGTATTGCAAGTTTATCATTTCTTTCACTACCCTCAAACCACATGCCATTGAAAAACAACAATGCATGGACAAAGAGGTAAAACTATTTACATTTTTTTTGTTGTCTTTGCATTTTTATCATATTGTGTGCATATTCATATTAGGATGTTTGCGCAATAGAATTTAGAGGTAATATCTTATATAAGAAATTAGAGATAAAGTATCTTATTGTATTTCTCTGCATACTAACATATATTTTTTCTGCCAGATACTTGCAAAAATCTTAAGCTTATGTTTGAGAAGGTTGAACCAAGGTGTAAGGTATAACGAAAAAATTTACAAATTAATGATTCTTTTTTATCAATTATAAATCAAGAAAAATAGCATACAACTAACATATTATTTTTTTTACCAAACTACACACAAATTTTTAAAATGATTGAGTATTTCCCATATAGATACTTGCAAGAATCTCAAGTTTATGTTCATTGTGTAGATTTACAGGAACTAAATGTGTTTAACAAGGTTGAAGCAAAGTGTAAGGTACAGCAAAAAAAAAAAAATAACAATGCAATTATTTTTTTAAATAATAAAACCAATAAAAGTAGCATACAATTGACCTGTTATTGAATAAAAAAAACAAAAAATAATTAACACGTTTTGGATTATTGCTTGGCTAGGCTGAGGGAAAATAAAGCAAAATAAAGAGGAGATGATGATAAAATTGAGCAATTAGAGCTGTACCAAAGAAAAATTATTATTTAGTATGTTAATATTTTTTGATCGCACAATTCCAAATATGTTTATTTCTTTCATTCATTTTATTGATTTTTTAGTCATGCGAAACTCTCCTTTTGTTGTTTCTAATATTTTATAATCCAAATTTGTTGTTGCAATATTTCAATCTAGAGTTCATTATATATGATGTTAATATTTCGTTTGACCTTACAATTCCAAGTTTGTTGTTCTTTTCTTTCATTTCTTAAATTTTTTAATCATGTTAAACTTTTTTGTTGTTGTTTTATTTTAATATTTTATGATTCAAATTTGTTGTGTATATCCATTATTAAGTTCATAATAATAAAAAACAAAGAGAACAATGATATGAAATTGATGATGAAGACCACACAATGAGATATCAAAGACGGAAATTATAAAGAAGGAAGTAATAACAAATTCGATTAAGTTTTCGATTAGTGATCTTCTTTTTATTTAGTAATATTATTTCCATTTCCCACTTATTATTGAAAATTGTAATTCTTGAATTTTTTGATTGTCATAATTTTAATCAAGTTTTTAAAAATATTTAATTTTGAGTATTAATTATTTAACATATGTCAATTCAAAGTTAAAAATAGGCCACACATATGACAAGCTAATAATATAAATGTTACATATGAATTGCATAGTAAAGTCTATAAACAAACTTTTTTTGACAAAATTTGTTTTTTAATTTTCTAAAATCACACTTTTTATTAATCAATTTATACATGATATAATTCAGTGGTGTAATGTTAAGAGGTCGTGCGACATGAAGTGTTTTTTTTGCCCTCATGAAATATATATATATATATATATATATATATATATAAGTTTTTGACACACTATAATTCATTGATTTTGATGTACAAACCCACTCTACTCTATGTGATAAAGATATATTATTTTATCATAATCATAAATAATATTTAAAACTAAGAAAATATCAATAAATATATAATCCACGTATCGCGTAGATAATCATCTAGTAATAATAATAAGGTAACATATCTATTAATAATAACAAAATAAAAAACTATGAATGAACTTTTGAACTATTGTATCTTTTTATTGTATCTTTTCATTTATAACTGCTAATTTATTCAAATGTTACAATTCATGAATCTTTGAACAATTGTGTCTTTTTATTGCACTTTTTTATTTATAACTGTTAATTTATTCAAATGTTACAGTTTCACAGTTGTGTATTTTTATTTTATTTTATTAATTATACCATTTCATACATAACTGCTGATTATCAACGGTTGCTTCTCTGGATACTTATGTCTTTTCAAGATTGTATATATTTTGTTCATTGTTT